ATGACCATGCGGTCTGGGGCACACTGCAAGCGCTCCTCGGCGAGCGCGGCGCCGCTTGGCCGGATGCCCGCCGCCTTGCTTTTCTTCCAGCGCGCGAGGGCGGCCTTGGTCTCTTGTGCCACACGCGCTGCGCCTGCCGCCTACTGGGCGGCCTGGGCCGATTCCTTGCCGGTCATGGTCCAGCGTCGCCCTGATGGCGGCGGAGCGGGAGCTCCTCGTGGACGACGAAGCTGCCGCCCCTTGCCTTCGCGAGGCGGCGTCGCTGGCGACCTGCTCCGGCGCCACTGGCCCGAGCGTCCGTCCTGGCAGGACATCCTTGCGCGCGCGGCCCCTCCCGCTGTAGCGGATGACAGTGAACCAGGCGATTGGCCGCATGGTTGGCAGCTTCTCGCGTCTCGCGCACTCAACTCTCATTTTCGCGAGCGCGCTTGTCTCCGCTCGCATGCGGGGGCTTGGCTTGCGGCTGTGCCGACTGACCCGGGCACCACGCTGCCCCCGGCGCACATGCACGGCGCCTTGCGCCGGCGCCTGCGCCTCGCGCTGCCCCTCACGCACCGGAACAAGCGTGGGCCCGCGTCGCGCATGAAGGTCTGGGGCCCGAGGGCAGGGTTGTCCCTCAGCAGTGGTTGGCCGACACTTCTGCTCCAGGCGTCAGCGCGCAGGACAGGCGCCGCCTGGCTTGTTCTTTACGGCGCCACGCGCTTGGGCGAAGCGCTGTGCTGCGACGCCACGCTCGTTGCTCCGCTCCATCGCGACGGCCGACCGCAGCCACGCGTGGCCGAGGAGGACGGCGCAGCCATTGCGGTAGCGGGGCGCCGCAAGGAGGCGCGGTACCCGGAGCTTCGCCGGCCTGGCCCGCAGCGGCTGGTCGTTCTTGCTTGTGAAACGGGCGGGCGGTGGGGCCCCGAGGCGTGCGGCTTAGTTGATCGCTTGGTGCGCCTCCGGGCACTCCGGGCACTCCGCGCGCCTCCAGCCGTCCGCCGCGCGGCCGAGGCGGGTTGGCGCCGCAGGTGGTGGGCGCTGCTCAGCGCCGCCTTGCAGCGCGCCCTCGCTTCCACCCTGCTCGGAGGGCGTTGGCTTTCCCCCGCGCGGCCGGCTGCGCAAGGCGAGCCCGACCTCGCTGATGTCCTTGCCTTGGCTGGCCCGTCCGGGGCCAACCTTCTGCCTTTGCGCGGCTAGTCGCCACGTCGGCGCGCGCGCTTCGTTCGCGTTTCTCGGCGGCCGTTTCGGGTGGGGGGGGTTGAGGGTTCCCTAGGTTTCACTGCCGCTAATTGTTAATCACCTTCCAGTGCCAGATCGCTGTGACGCTGCCCAGCCTACGAACAGCACGGTACCCGCAGGCCCTGAAAGTCTCGCCCCGTCATGAGCGCAATATCCCTGAGGGTCGATCCGTGTCAACATAAGTACCGTCGCTCGACTCCCAGACCACGCAGTTCCTCTCCTACGTCACCGCGGGGAATTCATCTTCGTCACGGACGCGCGCAGCCTACAACTCGGTATCGCTCATCGATCAATCTACTAGGCTCTAAGCGTCCGCCTACTTTGCCACCTCCGCTTGCGCCGAGCCTGAACACGAGACCCAGGTCCTGCCGAGACTCCGTTCTCCACGTAATGCCCACAAAGATCATGTTCGACGCTCTACATGGACCACGGATACGTCAAGCTGTCACCCGGGGCCAACACACCAACCTCGTAACATCCTGGGAAGGTCTCCTACACCGAGCTTGATCGTGACGAAGATCCTCTTCTGCCTCCAGGTGCCCCACCAGCTGCACCAACTCCAACGCAGCCCTGCACATTGATTCAGACGTTCAAGGTACACATGGAAGTCCAGCTTGGAGATGGTTTTCAGCATTGGACCCAAGATCAGCTCACTCATTTTGCAGGGCTCAAAAAAGACACCAAAGCTTGCTACTCATCCAGGAGAATGTGGTGCGTTTGGCCTGGTCCATCTACCAGCAGTTGACTAACAACAAGCTCTGAGTACGCGGAGCGCTTGACTCATGGACCATGGAGTATGCTTGAGTAAACAGACGTTCATTGATTCATGTTAGCGGACGTCGCGAGTGCTGGCATTGTCTAAGTGATGGTCTGACCTGCAGTCGTGAGCTTGTGGTGATTTCACATTTCAGTTGCATATCGCATTCCATACTTTCTGCCATGTCGCGCGGTGAGCCCTTTGTGGAGTACTATCGCGTACCGGATGACCATGAGCGAACAGAGTGGGTGAGAGTTTACATTCCACATCTGTGGACCCAATGAAACAAGGATCAGGACGCTTTACTTTCCCATCCTCTTGTTTATCGCCAGTGGAGGATAGTGAACTGGAGACAGATGGCTACCTCTTTGAGTCACGCCTCCATGGTTGGCTGACCATGCACCCATTTGGTACTACCGTCTGTGCGTTTGTCTGTCTGTCTGTGTCTGTCTGTGTCTGTCTACCTTACGACATTCTGAAGCCACGTCCTGCCAAGAGGCACCGGCATTCGGGACATCATGGCCCGCATGTGCGGGCCTGGCTGCGGGCTCAGCGCCGAATCTCGGATGTTCCTAGGCTGGCTGCAGCAGCGCCGTGTCCCCAAGATTCTGGTGCGCCTCCCTCCGCTTGCGGCTTCCATCTGCGGTGTGGCTGCGGGGCAAGTTCGGCACTGCCACGGAAGCTGCGATCGCAAAGTGGCTGTCAAGAAAGGACCCGCTTTCTCACTTTTTGCTGAATCTGGCACGCTGGTGCCTATGTCTCTCACGTTCCCGGAGTCCACAATGAAGACGCGGACCTCAGTCGCAACCGCCTATCAAACTGCCCCGACGTGGCGGCACTTCTGCCTGCCTCACAGCGGCGTCGGGATTGCTCGCACCCTGCGACTGCGCCTTGGCAACCCTGGCTGCTCACCCTGTAGCGCTCGCTCCACTTGCGGACGGCGAGGGGATCATGGCAGACCGTTTCCTGGAGTGCTCGTTTGCGTCGTAACGTGCTCGTTAGCTCCTTGAACTCAACGCTGTGGGTTTTACCGCATGTTTAGTTCTGGGGTCTCGAGCCGTCAGCGGTTCCCGCAGCCAGAGGCTCGAGAGCCGTCACTTTCGTTTGTTTTTCTTCCCTCCCCCCCACACCGGGGGGGAGCTTTGCTGCAGACCAAGCTCCAGGAAAATGGCGTGCATTGCGTGTAGCGTGCTCGTTTGCGTCGTGACGTGCTCGTTAGCTCCTTGAACTCAACAGTTTCACTGTTAGAGCAATGGCTGTGCTAGTGCAAGGCAAGGCTTCTTTGATTTTGTGAATCACCATTGCATGAAACAAAGGCTCCGGCATACACGCGTAGTGCTGGACTTGCACATTTTTCTGAGTTTTGCGCGCTTCCGCTTTGGAGCCTGCAGCGTGGAGTCTCGGCTTTCTATGGGCTTTTCCGCGGGAAATCTTATCGATCCTGGCCGCTCGACTGGCGTTTCGCATTGTTTTTGCGAGTCGTTTGGCGGCCATGCACTTTGCAACGTGCCTTCGCGCAGCTTTAGGCCCAATTCCCGGAAGGACGGCATGGGGACAAGCATGATGTCATCAGCATCGCCCCCACCTGCCGGCCAGGCCTGCATTTGGCAGACTCATCATCTCAGCTTCATGTGGTTTGGTACGTTGCGATGCGCAGTTGCGGGATTTGTCTGTACAATCATATTGATGCCTGGAGATTGAACCACCCAGACATTTCTCGGCGTTTTGGGTAATGAGTACGATTGGAGGAAAACTGGGTGTTCTAGAACGAACAGCTGGAAAAATAGTACGCAGGCCGGCGTCTCAGGTGCTGCTGGCCGTTTGGGAGGATATTTGAGCCAGCAAGATCTGACATCACATCAGTATAGTTTCCTTTCTCGGTCCTTGCATTTCCCGTTGCAAGCATGACCCTACATAGGTGCCCAATCAGGGCATGCTTTTGAGCGGGCAGTGCATGCAAACAACCCAATTGACCCACTTTTTGGGATTTGCGCTCGTTTGCGGGTTTTTGCGGGCATTTTGCGGGTTTTTGCGCTCGTTTTGCAGCCAAAAGTGGTTCGAACAAAGAGCATTTCTCACCAAGCATGTTTAGACCAAACTTGCTCCGATTTGTGCACCACCGCACAGCTAGGATTGAAGGGTGTTGATGGAGGGAAGGATTTGAAGGGTTGTCGAGTTTAAACGTTTCAGAAGATTCGAACATCAGGTTTAGTGGGCAACATCCAGCTGAATGAGAGAGAAAGCCATGTGCACGAAGGAAACACCCAATAATTCCAATTTCTAGGCGTCTTAGTCGGTTTGCGGTAAAATGATACGAAACAGGCAAAAGCAATGCAATGACCAAAACACCTATTTTTTTCTAGTCGTTTGAAGCTGCAGGTGGAAGAAATGTCTTAATGTGTTGAGGCTACGTCGGGTTGGATGTTCGTGTTGCACATGCCTAGTTGCAAGCAGCGTGCTGGCAGGTGAGCTGGATGGCCGGATGCAGGCATGATGCCATGTTGCAAGATTTATTTTCTTGCGTTTGCTATTCCCAATTTCAAAGATGTTTGGGAAACGTGTCAAGCTTTGCGTTTATCAACGCAAGAGTCGACGCAGTCAATGATTGGTTTGAGCCGTTGCATTCTGCAGCTTGGTTGCAATGCCGTTATCATGCATACGCAGGCAGCAACTCGCAGAACATGAAGCGTGCATCACACAACCAAACACACAGCTGGAGCAAGAATGGCAAACCCTGCCAAGTCCAACTCCGTGCTACACTTGTTTCATGTAACAATTCGCCCCCTTTTTTGGTGGTTTGTTGGTTTCTAACAACGAATATTTGCTTTGAAGTCAGCATGTGTTGGGAGCAGTTCCGCACAAACATTTCCAAATTTGGGTCAAGCAACGGCCTGACTAAGCGAGGGCAGGCATGACCGTTTGTGACCAGACAGCTGAGCGACCCGAGTCGCTCACTTCAACCATTTTCAGTGTCGCTTGGGATTTGTTAAGCATCCTGCTGGCCTCGTGCCCCGTGAGTGCCATGGCCTTCTTCAAAGAAGGCCTCTCCAAGCTCATGGGCAGCTCGCCTGCGCGATTTTGGGCTTCAAGTCTCAAAGTGGGAACAAAGGCACGTGGTTGGAAGAGGGGAGGGTTCAAACATTGACCAAAAAAGCATGTTTTCTGGTGGTTGCAGCCCCTTCCGTTGGGAGCATTGCAAGCTCAGGCAAGGGCCATGCGGATGCTCCGAGCCCGCGGCTGCGCCTGGGGGAGGGCTGCTTCTTGGGCCCGGGCGCGGTGGTTCCGCAGACGTTGACCTCCTGGAGCGCAGGGGGTTTTGGGAGGTAACAAGAGAGATCTGGGTCTCAAAATGAAGCCGCGGGACCGCAGGTTTTAGTCATTTATCAGGGTGGGTTCCATTTTTGGGTACCTATTTTTGAGCCACAGCCATTTGAAGAGAGGCAGCCCATACAACGATTCCGCTTTCCAACATGCAAACTGATGCCCTATCGGTCGCGCAGGAACTCCGTCATAGCGTACTGCACGGATGCTGGCCATGTTCGGGTCTTTGGGCCAGAGATGGAGGTGACACTGAAAAACCCTGCTGCGCCTTTGCACCCGGAGTTCCTTCTCTTCCCGCGCCCTGGGCTGATCCTGGTGATCGGGGTCTCCTCCTGTGCGGTGGCCCCGTCTCAGGCAGCGCCCAGTGACACGGGAAAGGCCACGTGGATGCTCCAGTGGTGGGAGCTCAGCGGCTCTGGTGCCGCGCAAGCTGTGCAGCCCGTACAGGCGGCAGTGCTCCGGTTTGGGGTCACCTGCGTCTCCGTAGCCGAGGATTGGAGCTTCAGATGTGAAGGTGCACGTGTCCATGTTATATGCTGCGCCGCTTGTCCATTTTTTCTATGCCTGCCTTTTTTGGCCGACTGTGTGGTTCCTTCGACTGCAGGAGGCGTGTTTGGTATTCCTCGGCACCGACGAGGGCGATGTCCGGGTCTTCGATGCCGCCGGGGAGAGCCCGCACTTGGCGTCCTACTGCGTGCCCTGGGGCACGCTGTCGCGGGCGGACCGGCCATGCCCAGTGGCAGCGTTGAGCGCCAGCCCCGAGGCCCTGAAAATAAACAAATAGGAACGAGGGATGACGGAAAAAGCTCAGAGCGCCCCGGGTGTCGATGGATGGTTTGCCCTTCCAGGCATCCCCGGAGCTTCTGGTGGCCACCGGGGAGGGCGCCTTGATGCTGTGGTCCTTTGAGAAGCACAAGGTGGCCCGGTCCTTCGACCCCATCTCCGCGGTGACCTCGGTGCTGTGGTCCCAGAAGGCTCCTAAAACGGACAGTTGGGCGGGCGTGGCGCAAATGGCTGACTGATCCCTTTGGTGGCTTCTCAAGCAGCTATGTTTCTGTTTCAGGATGTTTCAGCACACCACCTTGGTAGAGTGTGGCTCAAAACAAACACACATCCTTGAGGAGCAGTTGTGCTTTTGGGCCCCAAACGGCGTCTCAATCGTGGTAAGAGCTCGCTTGGTGCTTCGAAAGGGGAAACAAAAGCAAAGGAGCATTCCTGGGTCTGTAAACGCAAAACCACAGAATGCAACCAAGCGCAGCAAGCAACCTTTGTGGCCTTGCCTTCCATGTTCCTTTGCTTTACTGTAAACAAGTTGCAGGCTTCAGGTAAACATGACTTGGTAGTTTTCTTGTTGAGGGTAGGGGTTTCCCCCACCCCCGGAACACCAAGCCAATCCAAGCGCAGCCAACCCAAGCTGAAAGAATTGGAGGCCAGCCACTTCCTGGCGGCCACCCGGAGCGACGTGAGCCTCTTCAGCCGCGGCTCCGGGGCCCCGCTGGCGCGCCTGGCGCTGCCGGGGGGCCCAGCGCAGGCGGTGGAGCTGCTGCACTGGGAGGCGGCACGGGCGAGGGCTAGCAGGCAGTTGCAAAATCCGTGTGGGGGGAGACAGGGGGGGGAAAGGAGTAAACAAAGAAACAAGCAAGCAAGCAAACAAACAAACAAACAAACAAACAAACAAACAAACAAACAAACAAACAAACAAACAAACAAACAAACCAGCGAGCACGCAAGCAAGCAAGCAAGCAAGCAAGCAAGCAAGCAAGCAAGCAAGCAAGCAAGCAAGCAAGCAAGCAAGCAAGCAAGCAAGCAAGCAAGCAAGCAAGCAAGCAAGCAAGCAAGCAAGCAAGCAAGCAAGCAAGCAAGCAAGCAAGCAAGCAAGCAAGCGCAAGCAGCAAGCAAGCAAGCAAGCAAGCAAGCAAGCAAGCAAGCAAGCAAGCAGGCAGGCAGGCAGGCAGGCAGGCAGGCAGGCAGGCAGGCAGGCAGGCAGGCAGGCTGGCAGGCAGGCAGGCAGGCAGGCAGGCAGGCAGGCAGGCAGGCGCAGGCAGGCAGGCAGGCAGGCAGGCAGGCAGGCAGAGGCAGGCAGGCAGAGGCAGGCAGGCAGAGGCAGGCAGGCAGAGGCAGCGCAGGCAGGCGCAGGCAGGCGCAGGCAGGCGCAGGCAGGCGCAGGCAGGCGCAGGCAGGCGCAGGCAGGCGCAGGCAGGCGCAGGCAGGCGCAGGCAGGCGCAGGCAGGCGCAGGCAGGCGCAGGCAGGCGCAGGCAGGCGCAGGCAGGCGCAGGCAGGCGCAGGCAGGCGCAGGCAGGCGCAGGCAGGCGCAGGCAGGCGCAGGCAGGCGCAGGCGCAGGCAGGCGCAGGCAGGCGCAGGCAGGCGCAGGCAGGCGCAGGCAGGCGCAGGCAGGCGCAGGCAGGCGCAGGCAGGCGCAGGCAGGCGCAGGCAGGCGCAGGCAGGCGCAGGCAGGCGCAGGCAGGCGCAGGCAGGCAAAGGCAGGCGCAGGCAGGCAAAGGAAAGGCAGGCAAAGGCAGGCAAAGGAAAGGCAGGCAAAGGCAGGCAAAGGAAAGGCAGGCAAAGGCAGGCAAAGGAAAGGCAGGCAAAGGCAGGCAAAGGAAAGGCAGGCAAAGGCAGGCAAAGGAAAGGCAGGCAAAGGCAGGCAAAGGAAAGGCAGGCAAAGGCAGGCAAAGGAAAGGCAGGCAAAGGCAGGCAAAGGAAAGGCAGGCAAAGGCAGGCAAAGGCAGGCAAAGGCAGGCAAAGGCAGGCAAAGGCAAAGGCAAGGCAAAGGCAGGCAAAGGCAGGCAAAAGGCAGGCAAAGGCAGGCAAAGGCAGGCAAAGGCAGGCAAAGGCAGGCAAAGGCAGGCAAAGGCAGGCAAAGGCAGGCAAAGGCAGGCAAAGGCAGGCAAAGGCAGGCAAAGGCAGGCAAAGGCAGGCAAAGGCAGGCAAAGGCAGGCAAAGGCAGGCAAAGGCAAGGCAAGGCAAGCAAAGGCAAGCAAAGGCAAGCCAAGGCAAGCCAAGGCAAGCCAAGGCAAGCCAAGCAAGCCAAGCCAGCCAAGCCAAGCCAAGCCAAGCCAAGCCAGGCAAGGCAAGGCAAGGCAAGGCAAGCCAAGCCAAGCCAAGCCAAGCCAAGGCAAGCCAAGCCAAGCCAAGCCAAGCCAAGCCAAGCCAAGCCAAGCCAAGCCAAGCCAAGCCAAGCCAAGCCAAGCCAAGCCAAGCCACGCCACGCCACGCCGCGCCACGCCACGCCTCGCCAAGGCACGCCACGCCACGCCACGCCAAGCCAAGCCAAGCCAAGGCAAGCCAAGGCAAGCCTAGGCAAGCCAAGGCAAGCCAAGGCAAGCCAAGGCAAGCCAAGGCAAGCCAAGGCAAGCCAAGGCAAGCCAAGGCAAGCCAAGGCAAGCCAAGGCAAGCCAAGGCAAGCCAAGGCAAGCCAAGGCAAGCCAAGGCAAGCCAAGGCAAGCCAAGGCAAGCCAAGGCAAGCCAAGGCAAGCCAAGGCAAGCCAAGGCAAGCCAAGGCAAGCCAAGGCAAGCCAAGGCAAGCCAAGGCAAGCCAAGGCAAGCCAAGGCAAGCCAAGGCAAGCCAAGGCAAGCCAAGGCAAGCCAAGGCAAGCCAAGGCAAGCCAAGGCAAGCCAAGGCAAGCCAAGGCAAGCCAAGGCAAGCCAAGGGCAAGCAAGGGGCAGCCAGCAAGCCAAGGCAAGGCAAGCAAGGCAAGCAAGGCAAGCAAGGCAAGCAAGGCAAGCAAGGCAAGCAAGCAAGGCAAGCAAGGCAAGCAAGGCAAGCAAGGCAAGCAAGGCAAGCAAGGCAAGCAAGGCAAGCAAGGCAAGCAAGCAAGCAAGCAAGCAAAAGCAAAGCAAAAGCAAGCAAAAGCAAGGCAAGCAAGGCAAGCAAGCAAGCAAGGCAAGCAAGCAAGCAAGCAAGCAAGCAAGCAAGCAAGCAAGCAAGCAAGCAAGCAAGCAAGCAAGCAAGCAAGCAAGCAAGCAAGCAAGCAAGCAAGCAAGCAAGCAAGCAAGCAAGCAAGCAAGCAAGCAAGCAAGCAAGCAAGCAAGCAAGCAAGCAAGCAAGCAAGCAAGCAAGCAAGCAAGCAAGCAAGCCAAGCAAGCAAGCAAGCAAGCAAGCAAGCAAGCAAGCAAGCAAGCAAGCAAGCAAGCAAGCAAGCAAGCAAGCAAGCAAGCAAGGCAAGCAAGCAAGCAAGCAAGCAAGCAAGCAAGCAAGCAAGCAAGCAAGCAAGCAAGCAAGCAGCAAGCAAGCAAGCAAGCAAGCAAGCAAGCAAGCAAGCAAGCAAGCAAGCAAGCAAGCAAGCAAGCAAGCAAGCAAGCAAGCAAGCAAGCAAGCAAGCAAGCAAGCAAGCAAGCAAGCAAGCAAGCAAGCAAGCAAGCAAGCAAGCAAGCAAGCAAGCAAGCAAGCAAGCAAGCAAGCAAGCAAGCAAGCAAGCAAGCAAGCAAGCAAGCAAGCAAGCAAGCTAACACACACACACACAGTGAGAAAATGGACCTGCGCAGCAATGTTTTTTGTTTGTTTGTTTGTTTGTTTATTTGTTTATTTGTAGGTTTGTAGGTTTGCTTGCCTCAGTTAGCCATTCCGTTGATGAAGTGTTTTTTCAAGGCTTCGTCTCCAGAGCGACACGTCACCCATCGTTTTTGCTTGGAAGCTTCGGGATCTAGCTTTGTGTTTGCAAACTTGTTTCTGGGGTGGTTTCCTAAACCGCAGGAAACCGCTGTTGACAGCGGTTTTACCGCTGGATCGCTTGCAGTTCAGGGAAGCAGGTAGGAAACCAGGCGGTAACTGCCAGGTAGGCGTGGCAACAATGCACAATTTTTGCCAGGGTGAGGGGACCAACGGCCAGCTGCTGCTGCGAAGGGGCGCCCCCAAGCCCTCGCTGCTGTGCTTCTCCGGGGAAAACTGGAGCAAGGCTTGCGCGAAGAACGAGGGTTGTTGCAGACAGTGCCGGCGCATGACGGTCCATCAGAAATGCCGCGTTTGATGATCCAAGAACACGTGCATGGCATCATTGAGTCTTTCCCTTGGATGGCAGGTGGATGTGCTGCTCCCCGACGTGGCCGGCGCGGCGCTGCTGATCGACGCCACCTGCACGCCTGCGCTGGCCTCGGAGGAGCTGGAGGCGATGTCCTCGCCAGCGACTTCAGAGCCATTGGTGGTGGCGGTGGGTCTTGCGGGGGCGTGCCTAGGCAGAGTAACGGGCAGGGGATGGTAATAATTCGACAAGGCTTTATTCTTGGGATGGGAGTCCCTGTGAATATCGCTTGGCCTTCCCATTGTGGGTGGCGTCTGTCACCTAGTTGACGCGAGAAGTTGGGAACCATTGTCAGCCGGACAGTTTCATTGAGTCCATTCCAAGGGCACACTTCAGGTCTCTCGGGAAGGGTTTGGGACCCCTACCCCCAGATCTATTTTTTCTCGTCGTGGTTGGCTTCTCGGACTTGAGTCAGGTTCCGGATAGTCTTGCCGCTTGCGTCGAGGCTCCAAGTGGTGGCTGCGGGCGGCCAGTCGTGGCCAGCCACGTGGGGATCGCTGCCGCTGGCAAACGTCAGCTGCGTCCAAGTCTTGCCCCAAGCGGTGCTCGAGCGGGCAGTTGCCCCGACGCAGGAGGGGCGTCAGCTTGAGGTTTGCGGGCGTCGGCCCACGATTATTTTAATACTTACACCCGCTCTTTGTTTGTGGTCGTGAACGGCAACATCTTTTCAGACCTTCTGGTTCCGTGGATGTTGGGAGGAAGGATGGGGCATGTTGCGGAGAAAAGGGAGCGTGCATGCTCCTGTCACGCGCCTTGCGCACAGAAAGGCCAACGGCCATGATTCCCCCGAACAGTTCGTGACACAGCTATGCAAAACTGCATCATTCGCCGCAGGTTGGTCTCGTTTTGGTACACTCAAGAGCGACAAGAGGGTTTCTGGATGTCTCTGGCTTGGTCAAGGCCTTGCCTGGCTGTGGCTGAGACATAGTATGTCAAATGGGTTTTCGTCCTTTTACAGTTGGGTTTGAGCCAGCTAGTGTCTAGAGACTCTTTTTTTTGGGGGTTGAGTCAGCATGTCGAAATGCAGAGAGATAGAGAGAGCGAGAGAGAGAGAGAGAGAGAGATGCTTTCTTTCCCTTCAATGAGAAATGTGTTTGCCTTGGTGTTAAGGGGGTTGGATGTGGGCCGTGTGATCATTAAAGGGCTGCTGCAGCACGGCATATAAACACATGACCGACCGCCTCCTAGATTCCAGACCGCCTTGAAGAGTCAGGCAGAAAAGTGGGATGTGTCGAAATCGAGGGCCAAAAGGAACCCAAAAGCTTGGAGGGCTCCCTCCTTCAGTACACCCCGCCCCCCCCCATAACCCCCGGAGGCATGGACGAAGCCAAGGCGTTTTGGAGCCAAAAAACGCCCCGAGTCGAGGAGCGTTTCTTTGCCCTCCGGGATGGCGAGCTGGAGGCTGCACAGGCGACCCCGAGCGAGAATTTGGGCACGGCGGACGGCTGGTTTGTTTGCCCTGAGCCGGACGAGCCGGACGAGGCGGATGCAGCGCAGGACCTTGGGAAGCTGCTAGCTGTTGGGTTCAAGGCGCTCACAGCCTCATGAGAAGCTGGGATGCTCCTTGAAGTCTCTGCCCGGTAAAAGCCTGACATGTCTTTTGCTTGCCATGAGCTGCAGCATGTTGGGCCGGAACCATGCATTTTGGGGGGCTTCTTTCCAAGCGTCCGGAAAATGAAAGCAAAGGGAAGCAAGCCAAACAATTGAGTTTTGCTTGATGTCCCGAGTCACGA